AGAATACCCTTGCCTGTTTTCCCTCTACTCTCTTAAATTTGGGTTTATTTCCCTCTGACATCCAATCTAGTCACATTTGAAATACTCCTCAGTTTCTAGGGCTGCTAAAGTTTTCATGCTTCTGAAAGTCACACCATGTCTTTACTTTCCAGGATATATCAGCTGACACTAAAGGGGAAATATGAAAGCATGAGCTGATATGTTCCACATTCAGCTGACTATTGAAAACCCACCTTTCTTTTCCCATATTAACCATTTCACACTTTCCTTTGAAATGTAGGAGGCTTATGAATTACAAGAGCTGTGCTGTAGGTGTGAGTTACTTGAGCTTCTACCTCTTCCAGGATGAAGTCGTCACCTGCATCAATAAACCTCCAGAGCTATTTTTGGTGAGCTCCTCTGGGCTCAGTGCCTCCTGGGGGTTCTTCCAAACCTCGCTGCACTGCCTTCCATGGACTCCGTGGCAGTCAAAATTATTAAGACTACTGCCTGAGAAATATGAGAAGAGTAATCCAGCATAACTCATTTAATATTCTGAAACTGTTTTTCTTGATTCTGCTGTGGTTTACCCAGATATTTGGTGTTTTCTGATCCACACTCTTGCTACTGTTGATGCTTGGTAAGGACACTAATGCTGTCCTAAGAAGAATTAAGCTATCGATGGCTTAGCTTGGGCTCATCTTCCCTCTGTGATAATAAACATAATTCTGACACCCTTCCATTTCCAGAAAATCAAGTAACAAAGTTACTGCCCTTCTCAGAAAGCCTGACGAGGAAAGGGATTTGATGGAGCTGTCAGAAATGGGGAGACTAAAGCGAAGCTCACAGTTTGTGCACAGGAACAAGTGGCCTGATGTTAAAAAAAAGAAAGAAAAAAAAAAGCCATTTCTGCTGTAGGGTTGAAGCTCTGGTCCTAATCATTTAGTTGCTGCAAAGCACATGCCAATGTTTCAGGCAGCAGAATTGCTTGGGTCATTTCCTACGCACTTTGCAGAGTGGCAATTAGCAGCCCAGTGGCATTAACAAGACAGCTTTACGTGAGCTTTCAAAGTAAAAACATAAAGAATCCCTAAAAGACCAAGTACTTGTAAAATGTGAGAGGGAAGCTGTAGGCCTGATTTTTCGGAGGTGGGTGCAAGGCTTTGCCTGCAGGCAGCGTGACCATCAATCAGAGCCACCCTCCACACCTCCCTGGCTCCTCAGCCTCCTGACTCCCGCACTCGACCTTTGTGTTGCCTTTCCTGCACGGGGATGGATGCCACACGTCTCCGAGTGCCCTCTCATCCACATTTGCCGTAAACACCCAGAACACCTGTTTGCTCTGACTCACCCACTCCTCATGCAGACTCTCCCTTTTTTTGACAGCAGACCTCACTCAGGTAGTATGTGCTGCTAATATCCTTTCAGGACCGTGTAATAACATGCCTTCTATCCAATTCCTAACATCCTTCAATCAGCTCAGCCAGTGGGCTAACTGCTTACACTCCTGTGATTTATATAAGTGCAATTAATTTAAACTGCATCACTCCGGTGCTATGCTGGTGAAAATGCCCCGAGAGGGAGAACCTCACTGGTGAATCAGACCCTTTACTTTTAACAAACACACAAAAGAACAGATCCCGAGCCAGTGAAAATCTGCATGGCTCCATTCATTTCAACACACAAACTTAAACCAGCTCAAGGTCTGAATCACAGCTCATGTAACAGACTATTTAGATACAGGCTAATGCCTCACATCCTGAAATGCAATGCTTTCCCAGAGCTGGCAGGGGACAGGGACTTGTCAGATGGAACAGAGCTGAGGGAAGCAGGACCGCAAATGAAACCTTTTAAAAATGCTTTGTGGATTTGTTCATTTCTGTGGAGATGAGGAAAGTAACGGATTGTGTCTCTGCAAGCCCTGCTCTCTTTTCTGGAAAAACCACCTCTGTTCCTTTTTCCCCAGCTGCAAAGCAAGTACCTGCAAAGTCTCTTTCTTTGCCACTTTCCCTTTCCTTCCTAGCCCGGGTATCTTCCCCGCCACTTGGAAATTCGTATGGCACCTTTCACTAATAGACACCAGAGTTAGATGCTGAACAGATGAATCTTTTTAATCGGTTCTTGAAAATGGCTAACATTCCCTGCACTTGTTTTGGTATTCCCCAAGATTAAGAAGTCATGCAGCTTGACAAAGCACTTTGCTCTTGCATGTCTTAACAGACCCATTGGGCGTTTTTTTTGTTTTGGTTTTGTTTTTTTTTTATTTTGCTTCACATCTATTCCAACACCTGCTGCAAAAACGGGCTGGGGTGGTCTCTGTAAAACACCTCTCCCCAGAGGAGAGAGAGCTCCAGCGTCACACCAGCACAGCATGCCGGTATGTGCCCAGGCAGGTGTAGCTAATACACAGCGAGGGGGGGAAGGGGTGGGGAGGGCAGACCAAGAGTCAATCAGAGTGTAATTTGTGTTAGAAATTTACCAGCGTTCAGCTGTCCATATTTCCAAAATGCAAATATTTTAAAATTAAAAAACCTATCTGTGACTAAATATCTCCTCTAAATCAATCTAGATAACCAGAACACTCTGTGGCACATTTAAGAGACTTTCATCTTAAGCGAAATGCATAACATAGATTATACCTTCCTAAGAAATCAAGAGGTCCTGAAATATACTAATGGTGAAGGACATTTAAGAAACATTTAAATTAGCCAGTCTATAATTTTGGGGGGGTTCCTTATCTATGCATCTCTTAGCTGCTTTGGATAATTAGGAAAATTTCCTTGGCAGTGTCCTAAGAGGATAGGCAAAAGAGTGACATAACTACTCCCAAAGGAAGGTAAGGTCGAGGTTTTGCATTCTGCAGATTTTTAAAGTAAGAGAAAGTATCCTTCATATGAGCAGTCTGAAGCAATATGCATATTATATAAAGACTATCACCCTGCTCTGAAATATAATCCTCCCAAGGCTTCTTCCTTTCCTTGAACTCACTTGCAGAATCTGTCTGGTCCTTCTGCCTGAAAGGGTGCAGGTTAGGAAGGCAGGCTGCTTGTCTCCAGCCTTTCCTAAGCACAACTATTCAAAGGCAGCTCCCAAATAGAGCAGGCACACATTAAGTTCAAAGCTTTCCATTAGTTCTGCCGGCCAACTTGCTATCTTGTAGTGTCGTGTGTGTCTCTGTGTTTCTCTGTGTGTTTACCCCTCCTGCTCTCAGTGAACAGTTTGTCCCATTGTAATTCTCATATCAAACATCTGGAAACCAGACTCGTTTAAAAGAAAAACAAAAAGAGAAAGAAGAATAAAAAATAAGAAAAGGGGGGAAAGGGGGTGGAGGAAAAATAAAAGGGGGGGAAAAGGAGGAAAAGGGTGTGAGGGGGAAAGGGGTAAAAAAAGAAATGGGAGGAAGAAAGAAAGAAGAATTCAGTGCCTGTGATTTATCCAGGGCTATGGCAGAAAGAAATATATATATATATATATATATAGATATTTCATCTGAATCATTAAACTGACCTTTATTTTCAAGAATTTTGAGCAATACATTTTTGTAGACTGCAGTTTTGCAGAGCCACATCCCCCCACTTCGGAGCAGGGCAGCGCGCTCTGCTAGAGCTCTCTCTCTCTCCCCCGTTCACAGCTGTCTCCAGCGGGAGGAGCTGAAACCTGAACCAAACCCTCCGAGCGGGATTGGATCCCTCAGCCAGCAGCCCCAGAGCCCTCCCAGAAAAACAGCCTCTTTGGAAAAGTGCTCGAGAACATCCCGAAGCGATTGGAGGAGCGGAAAACCCTTCCCCCCTGCACCTGACTCGTGGGTATTTACAGCACTTTTGAAGGCGCCTCGGCACTGCCAGTGCCCAGGCGGGAGTGGATGGGCTGCGCGGGGCCGTAGGGAGCGGAGCGGCTCCGATGCGCCCGCAGTGACACCGCCTGTGCTGTGCCGCGCCACC